TTGGTCGGGTTCCGAGATGCGGGCCCGAGTCGACTTTTTTGAGCGATTTTTCAATTTTTAACTAAGATTATTATTTCATTATTTGAATCAGTTTCCTATAGTTATATTTATAGTGTGGAATTGTTTTGGCTAGATTCGAGCCGTTCGGAGCTGGAAAATCGAGGGAAAGGCCTTCTAATTGACCGATTGAGCGTGATTTGAGGTAAGTATCTTGCCTAACTTTGTAGGGGGGGGGGGGAGGAAACTACCCCTTAGGTATTGAGTCTTTGGTGCTAATTGTGTCATGTGAAGTCCGTGTATGCGAAGTGACGAGTACATGCTCAGGCTTATTTGTGAAAAGTTAACCTTTTAGGGCTTTTAGGTTCTTATGTTCATTAGATATGAAGTTGTTTTGTTATGTTAAGTTCCCTATTTACTAGTTTCACCTCTACGTGTCGTAATTGAAATTAATTGCTTCATGTTCAACCCTTATTGCCTATTTGACTCTTGTGTGCCTTAACTGAAGTTGTTGTCTCTTTGATTGCCATGCTATCCTTTCCTAATTGCTTATCCTTAATTGAATTTGTTGTACCTTTTTCGTAACTGCTCAACCCTAAATGAAGCTAGTCATCCTTGATCGTAGTGGCCTCATCCTTATTTGGAATTATTGACTCATGTTATCTCCCTTGATATCGGATTGTACTTTTGTGGAATCATTTGTTACATATCATCTCTCCATTGTTGAGCTATTCTTATTGAAACTAGTAGTTCCTATTGTGTTTATTCCTTGTGAGCTCGATCTACCGCTTCTTTGTGATCTAAAGCTCTTGAGTTGATTTACTTGTCGTATTCTCATGCTATTGTTGTTGTTGTTGCGGTTGTACTTAGTTTGTTGAGCCAAGGGCTATGCGCGGTTGTGGTATTGACACTGTTTAGATGAATTGTTGTGGAATATGGGAACATGTTGTGAAAGTCAATGCTATTGTGATGTTGTGTTTTTGGAACGTGATATTGTTGGGAAGTTTTGTTCGGGTGTTTGCACGAGGTTTTTGCCGTGCTGTTGTTACTATTGATATATGCACATACAGCGTGACAAGACGGGCTATATATGTGGTTTTGTGCATGTGGCGAGACAAGGTGGGAATATTATTATGCGCGTGCGGCGAGACAAGGCGGGCATTTACTTTATTATTGCGCATGTAGCGAGACAAGGTGGGAATATTATTATGCGCGTGCAGCGAGACAAGTCGGGCATTTACTTTATTATTGCGCACGTGGCGAGACAAGGTGGTCTATGTCGGGGATTTATTTGTGATGACTTGTGATGGCTTGGGGGCCTTGTTGTTGTTGATATTTGTGTAGTGGCGTGTCTAACCTGTGTGAGTTTTACTTGGTGCAATTGTGGGGATCGTTCCTTATGTGCCATTCATTTTCTCTACTCTTATTCATTGGCCGAACTGTGATAGAACACTTGCACAAGCATACACGTACTTTATCACCCTATCGGTTTAAGAAGATGAACACTGATGTTACCGATCATTTGTACGTACTCCGTCTACTTGTCATATATGTGAGTCTTGAGGTTTGGTACTTCGTGGGGATTATTGAATAAACCTGGTGCGAAAGTGGTTATTCTTATCACGTTGATACTTGTCTTTCCTTTATTTGTTTTTCACCGAATTTAAACTGTGTCCAGCTTACTCTACTGTGTTATTACTTGAGGTGTTCCACTGCAAATTGTTGCTTCTATTTCCTACTGCAAGCACCGTATTATTATTGTCATTATGCGTAGTTCTGTAGAGATATCATATTATGTTAGTTTTATGCCTATACTTGTTCAGGTTATCTAGTCCAGTAGGTGTCTTGACTGCCCTCGTCACTACTCCACTGAGATTAGTCTTGATACTTACTGGGTACTGCTGTGGTGTACTCATACTACACTTTTGCACATTTTTGTGCAGATCCAGATAATTCGGAGTCAGTCGATCGCTAGCTAGCTGTACGGATCTTGCTGTGAAGACTCAAGGTAAACATGTTGCAGCGTTCACAGGCGTCGGAGTCACCTTTTGTTATTGTACTTGCACTGTTTATCTCTATTTTGAAACAATTGTATTTAGAGGTTTTTTGTAGCAAACTCAGCAGAGCTTATGACTTGTACTATCGGTTTTGGGAATTATAATTTGTATAAGATTTTTATCTCGTATTTTTCATTTGATGGTCGAATTCTTCTGTTTACTTAGTAAGTGTTAGGCTTACCTAATCTTAGAGACTAGGTGCCGTCACGACATCCTACGAAGAGAAGTTTGGGTCGTGACAACAATTTATATCACAACTCATGTCACTTATCAATAATACGTTCAAGAGAAATTTATCAAGAATCAAATAAAGTAATGCATAGGAACAACTTCCTTTTTATTTCATTCCGTTATGTTACCAACAACTTCAAAGAATATGAGATAACAACTCTACGTAGGTGAATTTACTTTGGCAACCAAATCATCAAGTAAATGACAGAGACACAGATAAGCACATTGGAAACAACATAACAAAATACGTGAAAATGCATGACACACATAAGAAGTCATAACACTACACAAACCTCATCAATAAATGCCCCCGAGCCATCACATATCATCCCCACATAGCCCCCTTGTGTTCGGCGCATGCACAACAATAAAGTAAATGCCCGCCTTGTCTCGCCACACGCGCATCAACAATGATCCCACCTTATCTCGACACATGCGCAAACTCGATATATATATATATATATATATATATATATATATATATATAGAGAGAGAGAGAGAGAGAGAGAGAGAGAGACCGCCTTGTCTCGCCGCATGTGCAATATCAATAATAACAGTAAAACGGTAGAAAACTCGTGCAAACACCACGACAATCCGCTCAACAAGCCCACGGGTGCCAAAAATCACAACAACAACATACTAACAATTGTCATCAAGACATCAACTCACAAATCTGCTAACATAGTGCACAATGACAATCAATAAGGAAAAACAGATGAGTGTTCAACATATAACATGGATTCAGGTAATCCAAATAGCAAAAATTCCATAAACGCCCAACTTGGCCAATTAAGGAAGTACAATCCTAAAATATGATCTGTAACATGGAATATGAACTCAAGTAATCATCACAATAGGAAACATGTAGTGTATCGATTTCACAATCAAAACAAGGCAATAAGAGCAACTTTGAGTCAATCCGGTCATAACCAACACATATACGCCCGTGTACACACTCGTCACCTTATGTACAAGTCATTCACATAGTACAACAAATAAGCAGTTAGACCAAATCCTACGGGAAAGTCTCCCCCACAAGGTTAGGCAAGATACTTACCCCAAAAGCCCTCAATCAATACTCTAAAAATATTTTTCCTTTAAAAGTCACCTCCGCTCGACTCAAATCTACCAAAAAATGACTTAATAACAGCAAATAATGCAAAAGAATTCACTTTCAATTAACAAAGTTAAGATCTTTACACAATTACCCAAAAGTCAAACCCGGGGTCGCCCTGGTCAAAACCCGAGTCCAATGATAGATCTTGACTACCCATAGCCTCACGAGTCCAAATATGTGTTTAGTTTTCAAATTCGAGTCCAATTCTACTCTCAAACATCAAATTTTTATTTTTTTCAAACATAGTAAAAAATCTCCAAAAATGCTCTTCAAATCTCATGATTTAGATGTAAAATCTCATAAATAATCATGTTATATAATCAAAAATTGAGTTAAAATCACTTACCCAATGATTGTGTATGAAAATCTCTCCTCAAAATCGCCTCCCACTGAGTTTAGGGCTAAAAAATATGATAAATGAAGTTAAGTCTCGAAATACCCAGCTATAAACAAGCTGCATATGTCGCATTTGCAACCCGGGTTCGCAAATGCGAAAAAAGGATCGCAAAAGCGAAAAAAGGATCGCAAAAGCGACCCCTGAGCAGACCTTAAAATGTCGCAAAAGCGACATATTATTCGCAATTGCGAACTTTGGCACCTTCACAAAAGCGACAACTTTGTTCAAATGCGTTAATCTCCCTGCCCAAGTGCCATCGCAAATGCGATCAAATTGTTCACAAATGCAATCTCCCCAGTCCCCAGCTTACTTCGCAAAAGCGAGAAATATCTCGCAAATGCGAGGACAACACACCAACAAAAATGAACCTTGCACAAAACTCTCCGGAACGCGTCCGAAACTCATCCGAGCCCCCGGGGCTCCACATGTGCGTGCATAAACATCATACGAACTCGCTAGTACGATCAAAACACTAAGATAACATCTGAAACTACGAATCAGACACCAAAATACATGAAAATCACAATGAACTTCAAGAATTGCTAGAAACACAACCATGTATCTGATTCCTATCAAACCAACTCGGAATGACACCAAAATTTGCAGACATGTTCCAAATGACAAGACAGACCTATTCCAAGCCCCAAATCAAAATCCGAACCCGATAGCCATAAAGTCAAACCATGGTCAAACTTAGAAAAATTCTAAACCTTTAATTGCCAACTTTCGCCAAAAAGTGCCAAATCAACCTAGGAATCTCCGAATCCAATTTCAGCATACACTTAATTCCAAAATCACCATCCGGATCTAGCGAAACCATCAAAACTCCGATCCGAGATCAAATACGCAAAAGTCAAAGTTGGTCAACTCTTCCAACTTAAAGCTTCTAAAATAAGAATCATTCTTCCAACTCAATCCCAAATCGCTCGAAAACCAAAATCGACCATACACGCAAGCCGTAGTAAATAATATGAAGCTACTTAAGACCTTAAATCACCTAACGAGATGATAAAACTCAAAACGACAGGTCCGGTCGTCACAACCTTAGGTAAGGTGCAAGAATCCCACCTCAATTATATTCAATTTCATGTGGAACAAGTAATTATTTTTCGAGACAAATAGGTCAAACTTATTACACCCAAACTCCATTACAAAGGTTGCCTTCCAAACGGGCCCTACGACGTAATACTATTTCTCGCATACTTTCTGTGCCCACTTAAACGCCCGTTCGCTGCTCGCTGGACTCCTCCCATAATTTTACTCACCACGCCACTCCACTATCCTTCACCACCGCCTCTGTGCTATCGGAGCTACCATCTTCTTGGGCACACTATCACCTTCTTTCCTTCCCCAGACAAGAGAAGGTTTGAAACTAAAGCACATCAATGATCATAGCCCTTTTCAAGCTCCTTTTATCGAACACATAAAATGCATTCAAGAGTAGGGTGTCTCTTAGCATGCACAAAACGGAGGTCTTCTTATTCTTCTACTTGCTCTGCACTTCTCTCTAATCTACTCTCTTCCAATTCAAACCGGAATATATTCGCGGCTTGCCACCGGCGAATTTTGATAGGCAGTGATATAAGTAAGGTTTATTATGTACCGGATTCGAATTTTCGTTGGTTGGGACAGCAGCGTGGGTTTTGTAGATACCCTGCTACCGCCGCGTTGGAGCAATTCTCCGACGATGAATATGAATGCGACTACGAAAATCATCCGGTAATTTCATTTTAGTTATTTTAAACTTCTTTTCTTTGGGATAATAAAATAGGAGTAGGCTTTAATGTTAAGTTCTATGTCTCCGAGAATCATTGAATGTGTGTGCTTATCTTATTCTATGTGTTGAGTTTCATTTTGGCTTATTTTTGGGAAATTAAATGCTATATATGGATTTAGATGCTTACTGTTTTAGTTATTTGTAATAATAACTAAATTGAAATACTAATTGTTGTTTGGCAAGTTGAATTGGTAATTAAGTTTTTTATACTAATACTACCCAATAGTGATAATTTACTATAAGAAGTCCTTTTTTTCTTGGTTGGGCCAATCAAGCAAGGGGTAGTGTACTGGAAAGGAGTTTTAAAAAATTACTTTTAGCTTAGGTCTTGTTTAAGCTGGGAGCTTTGAGTTCTTTTCAGTTGTGAAACCTTTAGTGTGAAAGGAAACACTTACAATATCATTCTCTTGAAATTTTTGACTTTTCATTTTCTGGTCGAAATTTGATTGGTGCGGGGTGGGGGGAGGTTTCAACGTTTTTCACATTTTTCTCTTTTCAAGTTGTCCTTTACTTTTGATGATACCACTTGGCTGGTGTGCTTGGGACAAGGATTGTTTCAGTTGCTATTACTTGAGCCTAGCGACCCTAGCCAATATTAGGCTGCTGTGATGTGTTAGATCCCTGAGTGAGTCCCAGTTAACTAAGTGAATGACTCTCTTTTGCTGGTAATGAGTGAGTCCCAGTTAACTAAGTGAATGACTCTCTTGTCTCTATTGCCCTGCCGGATAAAATTTCTCCTTGCTGCATTTATTCTTTTTCTCACCTTAACTGGAATAGGAAATAAGGACATGACATATGTTGGAAATGCATCCAAAACAGAATTCACCAAAACCACTCTACCTCCCAGAGATAAATATTGACTCTTCCAAGTTGCAAGTCTCTTTTCACATTTTTCTACCACAGCATTCCATATTTCCTGGGATTTATTCTTAGAACCTAATGCCAAACCCATGTAAGTGGTTGGCAGTGATCCCACCTGGCAATCCAATATTGTAGCTAATACTTGAATGTTTTGGACTTCCTTGATCGGGAACAACATACTTTTCCTCCGGTTCACATGCAACCCTGAGACCGCTTCAAAGACAACCAAAATGAGCCTTAGATGTCTTAGTTGCTTAACCTTAGCTTCACAAAACACCAGTGAATCGTCAGCATACAACAAATATGTGATCTCCAAGCTACTATCCTCCCTATTTGATGCAAGGTAGAACCAATAAAGATTTCTTTTTCGATTCATCCTGGCCCATTCCTCGAACGAAGTTTTTACGGGGACCACCACGACTCCTCTCTTCTCGAGAATCCATACATCCCAATGGATCTCCTTGTCTAAGACCTCTCTCTGATGCAAAAAATCCTTGTGGGGAGGCATTGACAAGAATGGAAAATTTTACAGTTTTAATACGAAAAGATATCCACTTAATCCATTTTGCACCAAAACCCATATCCTTTAGCATTTTTAGAAGAAAGTTCCAATTAACATGATTATATGCCTTCTCAATATCTAGCTTGCAAAGGATCTATGAAGCACTTTATTCTGCAACTTAACAATGGAGACCATCTTTGTTAAGTCTACCTTCTATTTCAGAAGAGGAGGTACAATGATGCAAAGACCTTTTGATGAGGAGGAAATTTTGGCAGTGATCAAATTCTACTATGGGGATAAAGTTCCAGCGTTCGTATGGCTTCACTATGAAATTCTACAAAAACTGGTGGTGCGTTACCTATCGAAAAGATCTGTTGGGGCAATGTCAAGTTTGATTTTACCAGAGTTTCACAGCTAGGAATATTTTGAAAGAAGCCTTAATGATTCATGTATTGCTCTTATTCCCAAGAGAGGTGGAGCGAATGAGTTGAAGGATAGTTTTGGTATACCTCTTGTATACCGGCTTGTTTTTGCCCAAACATTAGTAAAATTTTATTTCTTTATCCAAAAAATGTTTTATTTTCATGTTCTGCTAAAAACGATATCAATGATAGTTGACAATTGGTGTGCATATTTGCCTGTTCAATTTACAAAAGATACATGGAAAAGAGTAGTTGTGAGTTGGCTTAGAATGTAGATATGGACTTCATTTAGGGATTCAATGGCTGTTGAAGGGCTTGATGGTGGGTGTTGTTGTCAGTGGCCAACGACCATTGGTTTCTACTTGGGTTTGCTCAAATGAAAAGGGCCAAGAAATTGTAAGAAAAGAATAATATTGATCTATTTCATCTTTTACATGTCGGCTTTTCTTTTAATCTTTTTAGTAAATCACGTGCATATTTTCTGTGTAAAATATTTTTGGTATGAATGATTTATCAGTTAAAGCTTTACTTATGGACTTTGAGATTCTATGACAGGCTTCATCATCAGTGGCCAATATAGACGAGTGGAAATGGAAACTTAGTCTGCTGCTGCGTAATGAAAAGAACCAAGAAGTTGTATCCAGAGATAAGAGGGATAGAAGAGACTATGAGCAGATATCTAACCTTGCCAAAAGGATGGGTCTCTATAGGTAGGGAAGAGTATTTTTTGGTGATTTCTCCCACTTTATTTGTTATCATGTGCTTGTGCTTTATTACTCGCTTCTTTTTGCATCTTGCAGTGAAATTTATGGAAAAGTTGTAGTGGTGAGCAAGGTTCCTCTTCCAAATTATAGACCCGATCTTGATGATAAGCGGCCTCAAAGAGAGGTACGAGTTGCCTCCTACCGGTACAATTATTTCTCTCTGCTGCATTTTGGTGATGGTTTGAATATATAGACAATAACAATTTGAGCAAAGGACTTTTAAGTTGGCATAAATGGATGCGGTTTTAATTTTGTGTTAAACAAAAGAATAAACTGGAGAGACAACAATGGCATTGAGGTGTGGTTATCTGAATGTGTCCTCGCCAGATTTCTTACGGCTCAACAGATACTCTAGATATGTTCTTGATTTTAGAAAGCAGAACTTGAATTTTTGATTGGCCTTGATGCAGGTAGTAATCCCACTAAGTTTGCAAAGGAGAGTAGAAGGCTTGCTTCAGGAGCATATTGATAGAACACAGCTCATTAGTGGAAAAGCTGACAACATTTTAGATGGAACAAACTCCTCTGATATGGTTGAAGATGCGAACTTGGATGAAAATCCAGATTCATTCTTAGATGGCTCTGTCATGGAGAAGGTTCTTCAGAGGCGGAGCTTACGCATGCGTAATATGCAGAGGGCTTGGCAGGTATCATTCCGTGTTCTTTTTTTTGTTTTGTTTTTATTATGTTTCTTTATATTTGTGGAGAAAATTTCTCTGTTCCAAATGCATGTCTCACTCTCTGCTCCTGACCTTAAATTAAAAGATAAGGGATGTTGGCTTACAATAGTGAACACTAAGAAACTTCTAAAGAACAAAGCTTAGAAAAGTGTGGGCATATCATCAGTTGTTCCCAGATTAATTTCACTCTATGACTTCTAAAGTCATCTTTTCAGATTTGTTCTCAGTTTGTTGTGACATGTTGTTGCGACTTTTGATAGATTTATCACTGTCCTCCCTCCTATAGATCATATTTCACCTTTATCCATGCTAACATGTTCTTGGTTAATCCATGTTGATGTGCCAATGCATGAGTTCCTTAGATTTGTTGCTTTTACATTGCTTAATGGTTTAGTTTATCCTTCTTGTTGATTCAAACGGCCTAATTTTATGCTTCTCATAGTTGTAAGAGATCTTCTATCATCATTTTGGAAAAGTGTGTGACCATCTCATCTAAAAGATTAAGCTGTTAGAGAGAGCGTTCTTTTATTTATTCAATTATGCCTTCAACATGCCTCCTCACGTATGAGTCTTAATCTTTTTGATGCGCCAAGTACGTTGAAATTATTTTTTGATAATGGGTGGCGGTAAGACTCAAATCCAGGACAGTCGGACAGCTCAATGACGATCTTTTTTTCCACCCTAGCGTGGCTGGTGATTGCGCAACTAGAATTTTAACACAAAGGCTGTGATACCATGTAGAAGTGTGTTACCATCTCATCTAAAAGCTTATGTTGTTACCAAATGTTCGGCCGCCATGTTGTGTTATCCTCGCTCCAGATGTCCGGGGTGTTATGTATCCCAGATCGGTTGAGGGAGTGAGTTAGTATCTCCTTAGATGGTATTGAGCACTCCTCATTTCATGAACTAACTTTTGGGGCGAGTTATGCCCAAGGTCCATCTTCTTTCTACATTTGATTTTTAAGATAGTTAGAATGAATTTAGAAGGGATAAAAACTCGAGGTTCGTCAGGCTTAGAAAATAGATAATTTAAGCGGTATATGCTGAAATTGAACTTGGCTTTTCATAAGAATCTATTAATTTTTGTTATACGTTTTTGAGCATATTTTACCAGACCCCACAGAGTGGGATAATACTGGGTATGTTGTTGTTTTTGAGCATATTTTAGTGTCTATAATTTCATATTTATCTGTTACTTTTTAATTTTTTAAGTAGCTGGAATTGTTCACGAATTTGTATCATTCTGGACTAATTAGATTCCAGTTTACTTTGGTTTTTTATTTTATAAATAAACGGGTCGTCTAGTTTGACAAGTCTTCATATGTGTTACCTTTTCATCCCGTTTTATGTGACAGTGCTAGGACATGATTACGTAGTTAATTTGACTGGTATATCATACTTGTACTAGTTGAAAGTATTAGTAATCACCTAAGCCAAGTGACATCAGGTACCTGACAGTTAGTATGAGATTACAAGGACACAGGACAACTATTTCAAACCTCAGTATAGCTGCACATTTCTTCATCTTGTATCATATTGACATTCTAATATGAAATAAGCAAGCAACTCTGCTTCTTTAGCTGATCTCTTAACCAAATTTGGGACTAGATAGCAAGTCTAAGGACTTTTGAACCAAGAAGAAATATTTATGCTCAGAGTGGTTTGATAAGTCTCCATATGGCCTGCAACAGTTAGCACTCTATATTGCTGAGGTGAATGTAGAGAATTTATTTGCACTGGGAGCTTTTTATCTAATCAAAATAGAGTGCTTAAGAAGCTATCTTTGTATGTTCAACTCATTGTTTCGTCCTCTTTTTTCCCTTCTCCCATATCAGCATCAACGAACTTTGTTGGATACATATTCCATGAATAAGTTTTTGTTGGATTTTATTTTGCACAGGAATCTCCTGATGGCAACAAAATGCTAGAATTCCGGAAATCTCTTCCTGCATTTAAGGAAAAGGAAAGGTTGCTCCAAGCAATTGCACGTAATCAGGTCATACTCTGATGAATTTGTGATTCTTTCTCCGTCCAATGCTTTTATGGTGATTGCATATGACAGATATGTTGCCCGAGTCAATGACCTTCTTTATTCTTAATAATATGGCACTAGTCCTTTATCATGAAATATGTGATCGTGCTTAAGGTTAAAATGCTTTTGAAGGTTCTCTTGCAATTCATAGTCATTTTTGGTCTTGAACTAAAGAACTTCATTCAAAGGATGTATTACGCTTTTGCTCTCCTATTTGCACAGTCAAGAGACTCAAGACCCTTAGTAACTATATGATTTGCTTAAGCACTTCATACAGGTAACCCATTGCATTTAACTGGCTTTGGTTCTCTAGTATATGGAGTATATTGAGGATGTCCAGGGAGCAGACTAGGACATATTGCAGTTCGTAGCGCCTAAACCTATTGTAGCATTGGGATAAAAAGAGAAGATAACACAGTTTAATAACTATTAGACATGTAGGGATTCTATAAGTTTGTGAATTGAAGAGTAGAAATTTAAGGAACTGAAAATTGATTCTGACATGCTAACTTGATTTATGTCAACTAAGTTTTCTTATGATTATTACAACAGGTGGTAGTAATTTCTGGCGAGACAGGATGTGGTAAGACCACTCAACTGCCACAGTACATTCTAGAGTCAGAAATAGAATCTGGCCGTGGAGCATTTTGTAGCATAATTTGTACACAGCCTCGAAGAATATCTGCTTTGGCGGTTGCAGAAAGAGTGTCTACAGAGAGGGGAGAACCTCTTGGTGACTCAGTATGCTACTATTCCTCTTTGCACTGAATTTTTTTTTTTTTTTTTTTC